CCATGCATTGCAGAGTTCATCAAAAGGGGAAAACAACTCCCAAATTGGGAGGCAAAAGGGTTTGCAGAAAAAGGTATCCTAGCAGTAATACCACAGAAGGAAACCGATCTGACAGGGTTCACCCCAAAATATGATGAAAAAGACCACCAGTTAATTAAATCCCTTAATGCTGAAATCAAGGAAAATGCTGTTACACCTACAGGACAGGTTGTGGTCACACTCCAGCTCCTCAGGGAGATAGTTCTGCAGGAACATGAGGTTACCTACTGGGGAACAGAAAAACTTCTAAAACATCTGAAGAAGGTAGAAATAGGGACAGGTATGACCAAAGTCGGGCAATCCATTGTAAGTAAATGTGAAATCCTGATACAAGCAAGAGAGTGATGCTAGGGGTAACAAAGGCTGGGAACCTTCACGGAGATTATTGGCAAATAGATTTTGCTGAGTTACCACCAAGGGAGAGGTACAAATACATACTGGTACTGGTTGACACCTTCAGTGGATGGCCTGAAGCTTACCCCTGTCGCACTAACACAGCAAGGGAAGTGGTAAAAGCTTTGCTCAACCATATAATTCCAAGGTTTGAGGTTCCTCTAGGAATGTCATCAGATAGAGGGACACATTTTATTGAAACAGTAGTGAAGGAGATTCGTCGCTTCCTGTGAATTGTCTGGGACCTGCATACTCCCTACAGACCTCAGGCAAGTGGCAAAGTTGAAAGTATGAATGGTACTCTTAAAATGCAGATTGGTAAAATTTGTCAGGAAACATCTATGTCTTGGGTTCAGGTTTTGCCTCTAGCTCTGTTGAGAATTCGCATACAACCAAGGCAGAGAGATAAGTCTTTATGAAATATTATATGGAAAACCATATCAAGCTCCACATATTCCCGGGGACATCCACATGAGGGGAAAAGTTGATCTACAAAAGTATTTAATGGCTCTAGGCTCTACTATACAGAAACTCCAGGAAATTCATCGAGTTATCCAGACCCATAGGATTGGACACCCCTGCTCATCAATTCCAGCCTGAAGACCGGGTCTACGTTAAATGGTAGGACAGTGACCCATTGCGAGTCAAGTGGAGAGGACCATTCCAAGTCCTGCTGACCTCCCTCACTGCAGTAAAAGTTGCTGGCAAAGGACCCTGGTTTCATTACTCCAGAGTTAAGAAAGCTTCTGTTCCTGGAACAACTAGCAAATCAGAGCCTGACAGCGATGAAGAGGATGTGGTTTAAACTGTTTCTTCCATACATATTATCTGTACAGTTGGTAGCTATGGATTGGGTTTGGAACCAAAATTTGCATTTAGCTTTTGTAAAATGTATTCAATATTTTACCTTATACACTAAATTGGCCTGGAGTCTTTTTCTCCACAGTGTCTTTAGGCAATACAACTTTAAAGACTATACTCCTTAAGAAATATATTTCTCTAGCTTTTTTAATATGCTGTTTACTCAGAGCACCTACTTCTGACTAGTCTTTAAATGTAAGAACACGTGTAGCGGGTTGACCCTGGCTGGATGCCAGGTACTCACTAAAACTGCTCTCTCACTCCCCTCTGCAATTGGACAGAGGAAAGAAAATACAACAAAGGATTCAAAGTTGAGATAAGAGCTGGGAGAGGTCACTTACTGATTACCATCATGGGCAAAACAGACTTGAAGTGGGGATATAAATTAAATTTATTACTAACAGGATCAGAGAAAGAGAGCGAGAAGTAAAACAGTCTTAAAAATACCTTCCCCCCAGCCCTCCTTTCCTTCAAAGTTCTACCTCCTCCCCCTAGCAGTGCAGGGAGATGGGAAATGGGGGTTACAGTCAGTTGTTTCTGCTGCTGCTCAGGGAGAGGGGTCCTTCCCCTGCTCCCGTGGGGTCCCTCCCACAGGAGACAGACCTTCAGGAACCTCTCCAGTGTGAGTCCATCCCATGGGAGACAGTTCTTCACAAAACTGTTGCCACATGAGTCACTTCTCCATGGGGTGCAGTCCTTCAGAAACAAGCTGTTCCAACATGGGTCCCCCACAGGGCCACAAGTCCTAACAGGGAAATGTGCTCTAGTATGGGCTCCTCTCTCTATGAGTTGCACGTCCCTGGCAGGATACTGCTCCAGCATGGGCCTCCCATGGGGTCACAGCCTCCTTCAGACATCCACCCACTCCAGCGTGGGCTCCTCCATGGGTTGCAGGTGAATCTCTGCACCCCAGTGGTCCTCCATGGGCTGCAGGGGGACAGCCTGCTTCACCATGCTCTGCACCACAGGCTGCAGGGGAACCTCAACTCTGGTGCCTGGAGTACCACCTCCCTATCCTTTCTCCACTGACCTTAGTGTCTACATTGTTGTCCATGTGTTCTCACTCTGCTCTTCCCTGACTGCAGTGTTCCTCTGCCCAACAACTTTTTTTTCCCCTTCTTAAATATGTTATCATAGAAGCATTATTATCACTCCTGATTTGCTTGGCCTTGGCCAGCAGTGGGTCTGTCCTGGAGCCGGTTGACCTTGGCTCTGTGGGACATGGGGGGAAGCTTCCAGTAGCTTCTAACAGAAGTCTCCCCTATAGCCCCAGCACCACCAAAGCCTGGACACAGAAACCCAGTACAACATGTAATCAGTCAGCTGACATCTGGTAGATTTTCACATAAAAGTATTAGCATTTCTACCAACCTTATACTGAAGTCTGTGACGCCTCCCTTTTAAGTGCATCTCCTTGGCATTAGGATCATTAAAACTGCATTCACAAAGTTTACAGTGAAAGCGGATCACCTTTCCTTCATCATTTCTTACCTGGAAAATAAAAGTTATAACACCTTTACTTTTTTTTTAACAAAAGCTGATGTAAAAATTAATCTAATTCAGTGACACTGGATAATGTCTACCCATTTCAAAACATGCTTAAAAATACACACAGTAACTGAAAAAAGGTAAAATTGAACTTTCAATTCTGATAGACACATCATTGTGATTGGTAACAAAGTTCTTCCACAGCTTTAAACTTGACCCTGAACATAATGAGTTAAATAAGTACAAACGATGAAAAATTTACATCAGATTTCATCCACATATCTCATGTCACCAACATGAAGAATGCCCTACTGAGGTCAAAAGAAACATGCACAATACAAAAACATAAACATAGCTCAAGCCTTTACAGGTTCAATGCCTTGTCCCTCTTATCTTCAAGGAGAACCCAGGGAATTACAGGCCAGTCAGCCTCACCTCAATTCCTGGGAAGGTGATGGAGCAACTAATTCTGGAAACCATTTCCAGGCACATTAAGGACAAGAAAATCATCATCGGTAGTCAGCATGGCTTCACCAAAAGAAAGTCATGTTTGATCAACTTGTGTGTTGAAGTGACTGGCCTGGTAGATGAGTGGAAAGCAGTTGATATTGTCTATGTGGACTTCAGTAAGGTGATTGACACAGTCTTGCCATAATATCCTCATAGACAAAGTGTTGATGTACGGGTTGGAAGCCCGTAGTGAAGACCATAGTGACACAGGTGTCCCCCCCATAGACTATGGAAGACCTTCAGAGTGCAGAGACCCAACTGCATTCCATGAAAGAGTGATCCATGGGACAGCAAAATGAGAAGAACTGTTGCCTGAGGGATGGACTCAAACAAAAACTGACCTCACCCCCATCCTTTCCCATTCCCCTGCACTGCTGGAGGAGGAAGAAGGAAGAGCATGGAAGGAAGGAGGGGTGGGGGGAAGGTGTTTCTAAGACTGTTTTATTTCTCACTCTTTAGGTTTTATCTTGTTAGTAATAAATTTAAGTTCAATTCCCCACTTTGAGTCTGGTTTGCCCATTAGTAAAGGAGTCTCCCAGTTCTTATCTCTACTCAGGAATTCTTTAGCTGATTTTTTTCCTCTCCTCTGTGGAGTTGCAGGGGGGGGGTGATATAGCAGCTTTTGGTGGGTATTTGAAATCCGGCCAGGGTCAAAACCACTACTATGTGGACTTCAGTAAGGTGTTTGACACAGTTTCGCTATAATATCCTCATAGACAAAGTTTTGATGTACGGACTGGATAAACATACAGTGAGGTGGATTGAAAGTAGGCTGAATGGCAAGGACTAGAGGGTAGTAATCAGTAGAATGAAATCTAGTTGGAGGCCAGTAGTTAGTAGTGTACCCCAGGGTTCAATGTTGGGTCGAGTTCCATTTAACATCTTCATTAACGATCTGGATGACTGGGCAGAGCGTACCCTCAGTAAGTTTGCTGATGACACAAAATTGGAAGCAGTGGCTGATATGTCAGAGGGTTGTGCTGCCATCCAGAGATCTCAACAGGCTGAGGGACCACCCAGTTGGAAAGCAGCTTGCCAGAAAAGGCTGTGGGGGGTCCTGGTGAATGCCAAGCTGAACTTGAGCCAACAATGTGCCCTTATAGCAAAGAAGGTGAATGGTATCCTGGACTGCATTAAACAATATCTTGCCAGCAGGTGCTGATCCTTCCTCTCTAACCCAGCACTGGTGAAGCCACACCTGGAGTCTTGTGTCCAATTCTGGGCTCCCCAGTGCAAGAAAGACATGAACATACTGGAAAGAATTCAGTGAAAGGCCACAAAGATGATGAAGGAACTGGAGCCTCTCTCCATATAACAGTTAAAAAATAATCCACATGTTCATATCAATACCTCCTCCACATAGTCATGGCCCACTGGCTGGACATCACTTTGCAAGGCTGCAAGAGTTGTAGGAGTCATGGGTTCAGCTGCTGTGTCTGGTTTTACTTCCTGTGTTTTTACTGTAGTAGCAGTTGTTTTAATACTTTCAGCTGATTTCATTTCCTCCAGTTTACTTCCTGTTGCCTGAAGTTTATTACCACCTGCAAATCAAAAAAGTTAAATCACTAACTTTCATAAAATGGGAATATGATTACACACGATGTGGAAACTGAAGACTTCATTTGCAAGTATCAATGTTCTGGTCAAAGTATTATCAGTCTTTTATAATTTAATAAAGCAAACATTTTAAATACTAAAAGGTTTTTAAAAAAGTTTAAGAAAAACTTATTTTAGCAAGCAATATTTTGCTTTATATAGTTTCAATTGCCATAATTCACTTTCATGCTTTTTCAAGAGATAGGACTGAATGGGAACAACTCAGTAAATATATTTTAATTTTGTTTCCCATCAGATTTATTTTCTCTTTTTGCAAATGGATCCAAGAAAGTACCTCAAAACTTTTTAACGTTTGTACTAATAAAGGTAGCATACTTTGTGCTGCAAATGCATAGGTCTGTCTTTCAAGAGCAGGTTATCTTACTGTTGAACAACTGCTTTCTGTCCCTAAATGTCTGTCATGCTTATTTCAAAAGTTTCCACTGTTAGATTTACAGTGTTACAACAATGTTTCAGTTTCATAGTTGCCAACTGCCAACCTACTGCAGTTTGTCTTAACAGCCCATGCTGTGAACTGAAATTAGGACCAACTGGACTATAATCTGCAATACTCCAACAGCTACTACATAAGAAACCAAAGGCGGGAGGCTTCTTATGAAGCCTCCAGGAAAGGTCAGGTGGAGACAAAAGGGCAGAAAACAGTATAAATTGTGAAGTAAAGTTTTTATACACATTCTTATTTTCCCCTATCAGTAATTCCCTTAAACACAACAGAATTACTTATGCAGAAAGTTAACTACATTTGTACATGATGCACTAAGATCTTTAAAAAACGTAGAATAGGTTAGGTTTCAAAATAAAGACTGACTTCTGTACTTGCCAACAAAGTTTATTTTTGGTGTAGATATTTTCTTTACAGCTATATTAGCAGCAGTTGAAGATGTTTTGTTGTTGGACACAATGTTAAGTGGTGCATTTGCCATGGGAGTAAGAATTTTCACTGCAGAGGATGCAGCAGAGGAGGTCACAGTACTGCTGCTAGTTGCTATATTTGAAGCAGAGGCAGTTGGTTTCAAAGCAGATGCAGATGTTGAAGTAGTAGCCTGGATAACCACATTTGGTTCAGTTGAAGGAATGGGTTTGCCAAGTTTTGTATGCAACTTTACTACCTATAAGAATAACAAAAAATTCATAATATTATCTCCCTGGGGTAGCTATAAAAAAAAGAACTTGTTATAAGTTATTGAAGCTTTAACAAAAACATCAATAAATAGTTATATTGATATTTATATTTAAGTTATTGCCTCTTTACAAAAAATGATCTCGGGGGAAAAAAAAGGGACATATAAAAGTTCTTGTCATCTGTAACAAGGAAATATTTAATACTTATCTCAGGTTGCTTATTTACACTAGAAATTCAGATATTTACTCAAAAAGTTGTGTAGATGAGAACAGAAAACCAATAAACTCACAAGCCAGTAAAATTCAAGAAACAGTTTGAGCAAAATGTTTACAACGTGACTGTTTTGTTGCCTGGTTGCTTTTTATTCTCCCTCCAAAAACTGTAGCACATTGAAATATTTTAGTTTCAAATAATATTTGTAAATAAATTATTTAATTCAGATTCAACACTGTCTCTTTTCATCACTACATTTTAAGAGTATTTATATTGAAAGACTTCCCAGGTTACCTAGCAAAACTGAAGACATTCCATAGACAAAGGTTTTCTTTTCTTTTTGTTAAAGTACATCTCCAGAAAGAGTTAAGGACGATGCAAGAGGTATATTTCAGAGCCCTTTAGTATCTCATTGAAAATTAAGAGGTATGTGCTTATTCTTAGAAGTAATAAAGCAGAGGCCTTTTTACAACACACTTGAGATAGAGTAATACTTCTTTTTGGTGACAGCTGACCAACACTAGAAAAGGCAATGCATGCAGTCCCTAACAACAAAACATGCAAAATGAAAACTAAAGACTGGGTGTGAAATGAAAACTAAAGTCTGCCTTATCTAAATAGACATTTGGTTGCCTAACTCCTATTCTTACTACTATAGAGTAACATTAAGTTTTATCATTTCAAACAGCTTAGGTTTCCCCCACCCCTCTTCTGCCTTGCGATGCTACATACTAGAAGTCTTTCCCACTTTCCCTGACAGTCCTTTTTGTTTACATAAGCTAGTTTTATCTTAATTGTCCACAATTTGGGCAGCAACCTTCTTTCAAGCAGTTATAATTTTGCAAAGTCACACTAACATAGCTAAATTTTTATTTTATCTTTATTTCAATTGATAAAATAAAGAGACTGTGTAACTAACTAATAAGAATAGAGACTTCGTAAAGAGTGTATATGATAGATAATTTTGAAACTCACTCCTTCAAATGTATAAAGAGCTGTTGTGTTTCCTTTCTTGGTGGAATGCACGGCCGGGGGGGTGGGAAGCGAAACGAAACCCCCTGCATCTCCCTGGCCGTAATAAAAGTGTGCTTTACATATTATTAAAAATTTCTTTGAATCAGGGAGATGTTATTGCTCTCTAAAACTACCTGAAAGGAGGTTGTAGCAAGGTGGGTGTTGGTCTCTTCTCCCAAGTAAAAAACAATAGGACGGGAGGAAATGGCCTCAAGTTGCATCAGGGGAGGTTTAGATTGGATATTAGGAGGAATTTCTTCACAGAAAAGGTTGTCAAGCATTGGAACAGACTGACCGGGGAACTGGTGGAGGCACCATTCCTGGAGGTATTTTAAAAGACGTGTAGATGTGGTGCTTAGGAACACGGTTTAGTGGTGGACTTGGCAGCATTAGGTTAACGGTTGGAGTCTATGATCTTAGAGGGTTTTTCCAACCAAAATGATTCTATGATATGCACACAAGTGTATACATACACTTTCTAGTTTTTTGTTCTTATTTTAAGCATGTTTACCATCAGAATACAGACATATTGATGTCATGTAATACTATAAATTTAAGTTCAAGTAACTCTTCAAAATTACTTTTTTTCCCACTAGCATGCACAAGATTCTTCAGTGTACCAAAGAAAGAGTCCTTTGAGACTTCATTTTTACACTGATGACAACCTAAATTAACATTAGTTAGAAACT